GCCCTCCGTCCCGGGCTCCGCCTCGCTCGTCCCCGTCCCTTCCCGTCCCGCTGCCCCTGAAGCGCCCTTTCCCGGCGCCTTTCCCCCGCTGCCCCTGAAGCGCCCTTTCCCGGCGCCTTTCCCTCCGCTCCTGCCGCCGGCGCGCACACCTTCCATCTCTGTGGGGTCCGCTGCGGCCCTGCGCCGGGATCCGGCGGCCGTGAGGCACCAGCAGACCGTTGTTAAGCCGTCCATGCTGACCATGTCTCAATAGTTCTGAGGTCACATGGGGAGGGCTCAATGGTAGTATTGACAACCGGCTGCGAAACGTAAGGACTAACCGGTCACCTCTCTGGCCTTACGCTAATATCTGGCTTATGTTGTGAAGTGTCAGGAAAATCAGCCCTATGCCTTTGCCTCAGACCAGAAAGAAGCATGCAGTTTTCTCGAATCTGCCTGTGCCTGACTCTCAGACTGTAGCATCACTGATGAGTCCTCAACGGGCTCGTTCAGTGTAGAACCGGAGAAGACCATTTATTTTCTATCCTGTGCTTGGAATGTTGCTTCATCTTAAATCCCAGGCATCCTGGTCACGTTCAAAAAGCCTTATATTTCCTTTTAGATAGCTGCTACTAACTGGATGAAAATTAGTCATGCGTGTCAAATGAACAACAAAACTGGCTATGTCAGCTACGTGTATGTGTACCTCCATGTTTTCAAAGGCCTGACATCATTCTGACCGGTTAGATACTCTTTTCTTTCATGTAATACGTTTTTCTTTCACCCGTGTACGTTGCCAGTGACAACATTTCTCTCTGCTACTTTGGTACGACTTCATTACTCTGAAAATCAGTCATCATGGCTGTTAAATCCATACCTCATTTCTGCTGGCTATATGCGCAGTCCTCCTTTTCATAGCTCAGGGCCCACTGGGGCTATGAGATTAGCATAATTCCAATATGGAGAGTCTGCCTGCGCTCATCGTGACTGAATGCACATACCATTTTCCACAGAGAGAGAGAAGAGATCCTTTCAAGATGAAGCGTTCAGGGAGATCTTTGTGAACTCTGACAACCCTTTGTCTTGCCGACACTGGCATTTGGTTCTGCCTCAGTCACAGTGACTCCAGGAGGGAATGTCTGTGTGAGTGATGAGATCTAAAAGTATAATGGTGAAGTAATTCTTTCCCAGCATCTTTTAGCTCTGATTTTTAGCAATGTTTTTACCTGGCCCTGAAGAGTCCCAATTTCTTTTTCTCTGTTCTTTCACATGACTTGTCCTTTGCTCTGCTCCAAATATATTCTCTTCACGTCTCTTCAGCTACAGGAAAGGGGGCTCAGTTCACTCTCTATGCTGATTGCCACTTTGTCCCACTTCTATGCCACAGAAAGCATGTTTGCCAGCACCAGTTTGTAACACACATACGCATGTGTGCGCGAGACACACACACTGTGGAGACTTAACTGTATATAAATGAGAATCTCCTCTATGAAGGAGATACACACCATGTAGTATACATGTCCATCACCCATTTATCCACCTCCCACTGTACCTGTTTCTCAGCATTTTGTAATTTTTCATGCTAAAGCATGAGAAATGAGAGCTGCTGTATCTAGAGAAAGCCATCAATAAACACACAGGAGGAAAATCCCTTCAAAGCTCTCCAATTCAAAGACATCCCCCCTGACTCAATGAGTCCCTGGCCTACAAATCACTAGGACCTAAGGCATCATTTTGATGAGATATCAGTTATTGTTCTTACACTCTTTTTTTACTGGCCTCTGCCACAGATGGGACTTTGGCCCAGATGGAAGTTTCCTGTGAATTACTCAGTTCTTCCATTGTTATGATCACAAATCTCTGTCCAGAATGCAATTCAAAGGGCAGCACAATCTCAGGGCTGTCCCATTCACGTTGCCCATTCATTTCTTCTGACCATGGATCCCTGCTGATATTCCTAACTGCAGAAACAAGTTCTACTACTGCACTCTGTATCCTTCCTCCGCCTTCTCCCAGAGTTACAGCTTCTGTGTCCCCAACAGAGCATGAGCTAGTATCTCCTTCGACACTGAAGAGACCATAACCAGATGAGAAAAAAAAACAACAAACCAGCCCAAACCAGAGCTAAGATGATTCACCATGTTAGGAGAATAATCACATGCTGTAAAATGAAAAAAGAGAAACCTAAACCCCAAGAGTTTTGAAGTATAAGAACCTTTTCTTTTCATTAGTATCAAACGCAAACACTCCTGTCCTCATCCAGTGATGACACTGACAGTGGTAAACCTTGAAACCCTTTCCCCTTGAAAGCCTTTCCATGTACTCAACATGCCAAGGCCTGTTTTTCTTTAGAGGAATTAATAAAGCAAGCAGAGATTATGCCTTTGCCTCCACTTAAGTTCTAGTTCAACTGCTGAGCCTAAACCATTTTTTTTTCTCTTTTCTTCCTTTTTTCTTTCTCCTTCTCTTCCCCCTCCCCGCCCTCCCCAATGTTTATAAAAATGAACATGCATTAGATCTGGACAGTTAATATCAGATTAATTACTCAAATGTTTATCTTATTGCTTAGCAGGCCCTTTTCTCAACAGCTTTGGGTAATTCAGATTATTATGTTTCCCTTCTTGTAGGTGTCTCCTATTGCAGTTTGGGTAAACCCAAAAACCCAGCTAATTTCTCTTTACTTACCATCTCTATACAGCTGGACATGGGCTGATCCTAGCTGCTGAGTGCTGGCCTTGTGTGCTAGTCTTGTTAACCATACAATTAAATTGAAGATGTTACAAACTACTAAGCTCAAACAGCACACAAAAGTTAAACTTGTTTTTCTGCTTCTTATTTCATGCATGAATCAACCAAAACTTGACTGCATTTTCAGTGTCCAAACCAGAAAGGATCTATGTCAAGAAGACCAAGATTTAGACTCAATACCTTTATTATAGAAGCCAATCCTTCTTTCTGGGACCAGATCATACAAGGCAAGTTGCAGGCAACATAGGTGAAATATATTCTCCTTGAATGTGCCCACACTGTATATGCATACTGTTACGAGCCTGTAAAGCCCGATTCTTGACTTCCTAACTGTCTGATACCAGGAGTGCTGAGTGACTGGCCTCATTTGTATATTGTGGGAAATCTGGGCACCAGCCGGCTCTTCCAGTGCCCCTGGCAGTCTGGCATCCTAACCAGGGACAGTGCTGTTCTGGCACCAGCCCATGGACTGCACAGCTGCAAAGCATGCGCTGTAAAAAACACAAGCCACAGCACAGCACCCTTACACACTGAACAACTCTTCAAAACCTTTCTGCTCCCTTCTATGGGAAGACAGCCAGCCTATATTGCTGGCACCCAAGTGCTACCTTGCGATACTCTTGCTCGAGAAAGATGGCACAAACAGCCTTATCTGGAGCCAGTACCTGCTGCACCCCCACACCTCTGAGGAAAACCAGCAAGGTGGCATCACTTAATAAGAGCACCTTCTTCATGTGGTGTGTGACACAGTGATTTGGCTCTCATCAGTGGCAGAAGGCCAGCCTACACAGTGTCTGGGTGCCCCCATCACTGTCTGCGTGGCAAAAAAATGGGTTGCCTGCCAACCCAAATGTACCTGGAAGGGTGTCACAGCAGCGCCTGGGCTGTCACCAGCCAGGGAGATGGTGGATTGCAGACCAGCTGTGCATGCACTATGTGCCCAAGGACACTTTGTCCCTCCATAGGTACTAAACATGGCTCTGACTGGAGGGGGTGTGTGGATCAGTCTCGTTGCTCCCTCCCTCTTACCAGCATTCACAGGGAGCACTGGCACATAAATTGGAAAGAATGGAGGGCAGAAAGCATGCAAAAAAGTGCCAGGGTGCTGTGGGGAGGAAAAGTGGCTTGCACAGCATGTGGGTTGCACAGCTATGTGGGCTGCCCACTTCTCTGAGCAGCCAGGCTTCAGTGCTGATGGAGAGGCTGCTCTGAAAGGACAGTGTGGTGGCACCCTTCCTTGGTGGAATTCACTATTAAATGCAGGTGAAAGAGAGGCACTGTCGATACGGGAGGAGATGATTTCTTTGGGGAGCCATGGCTGATGGAGCTTCTGTTAATGTTGCTTACCTTTCATGCACGGTTTGCCTCAGGACCTGAGGTCCTCAATTGCTGGTTGATGACCACATTAAAAGCATGCCAGGGTGGTCCAGAAGACAGCTTATCAAGTGCCTTAGGTTAGTTTTAGAAGACCAAAGTACTTCACAACATAAATTATTCTGTTCTTTGATATCTGACTGACAGTGAGGATCTCTTCTTTGTCTGTGTGCGAGAAAAGTAAAAATGCGTTAACCTGGTAAACTCCTGTAAAGAACAAACTGCATCTTTTTTTCCTTATTAGCTTTTCTGGGAAGGGGTTTGGGCCTCTGTGGTTTTTTCTGTTGTTTTTTTTTTTTTTTCACTTTCCCAGGAAGGGCATCCTTCCCAGTGCCTCCTAACTATGGACATACCCATGTTTTGGACTATAGCTTTTCAATTGCCAAATGACATGCCATGGCAATGATGAAGGGAGACCACAACAGGTGCCCCAACCTTTAACCAAGAGTACAGGGAGGAGTGTGCAACATTCCAGGAAGCTGAGTCCACGAGGACAGTCATCCCTTGCCCTACCCTATTTGTCCTGCCCACTATAGATGCTCAGCCATACATTGGATTTAAAAGGCCTTGTGTGGCCTCATTACACTTCGGAGGTTTAACAACAGCAACAGCAGCAGCAGCAACATGAGTATTATGCAGGCAGACAGTTGTTTGCTGAGCTGCAACGAGTTTGTAGTTTGGTAGGTACCACTTTAAAATTGCTTAGCTAAGGGTTAAAAGCTGTTAAACTGTGCTGGCTGGTTTGATCACATGAGTTACTACACTTGTAATTCAGATGAAGGATGAAGTCACTGACAGCAAGCAAGGCATGGGTGTAACGCTGTAATAGGAGTGTAATCACGGTTGCAGGGAGTAATACACCTCTTTCCTGTGGAACATGTATGCGGGAGTGCAGCACATAATGCAAAGGCCCTCACCTAAATCTCTCTGGAAATTGTCACTTGAAGGTAGGAAAGGGGCTGTGGTGCACAGCCACATCAGCTCTACTTCCTCCAGCTGAGAATGACTGACCACAGCACTCACCTACAGCAGGCAGAGCAGCCATCAGCCACGTTTGTGTGGCTAACTCACATGCTGATGCCTCCTCACAAAATTGCTTGAGAAGAACAACGACCGTGCTACCTCTCATTATTGCAAACATATCTAAATATAACCCAGAGCTCATTTTCTTAGGAACAAGTACTGGCAGGTCCTAAACTGGAGATGGGAATGTTTGATAGCTCTCAGGTGCAGTGCCAGCCCTTGGCTGTGGTTCATGCATCTCCTTGCTTATGCCAAGAGGTCTTAATAGGTAATTGCCAAAGTTGGACAGATCTGGGCATCTGAAGGGAAATGACTTGCAGGGTTCAGATTGCAATCTTGTGCAGGTTTGTGATGCAGTCTGGCCTGCCAGGGTGTCCATGGGTGAGAAGGATTGAAGTCACTCAGATGTAGTAGACATTACAGTGATGCTCTCCCCAAAAGTATCTCTGAAGATCCTGACATCGCTCTCCTCCTCTTAATGAATGATGAAGTCTACCTCCCTCCAGTCTCATTGGGAAACCCAAACTGCATGCCAGAGTCTACGTGGCGCCTTCTTCATGAAGTCTTTCTACAACATCCTCTACCAAACCCAGGATTATTTCCTTTTCTCATTTGCTCAGCTGGAGGTGAAACTGCTATTCCTGCCTTCTATATAATCCTTCACCACATTTTTAGTTTGCCTGAGTACACCTGTCCATTCCTTCTAAACTATCTGCTCTGACTGCAGAGCCAACTCTCTTTAAAATTGCCAAATGCACCTTAACTTTCCAAAATTTTGTTCGTGTGTGTATTTCTTTCATGAGGAGAAGAAGATGTGTTCCAAGCAGCAATTCTACATCGCTGAAGTTATTTCATGTCTTTGCTGCAAAGCCATTAAAAAAGAAAGATGAGAGCTTCTCTCTGTGTCACAAAATTTCTGAAGTTCCTTCATTGTATTTTAAGACAGTAGACTCTAACTGTTGGAGACCAGAAGCTGCTACACATATTATTAGCTATCCCTGTTGGGAACAGGGAGAGGGTAGCAACTGCTGGGAGAAAAGCTGGGCAGGCAGCTGGGATGGTGACCATTTTAGCCACCTCAATTTCAGCCACCAATAAATGTGAATCAACACTCTGTGAAGCCGCAGCTGAGGGCTGGAGTATTTAAACCTCCTCCAGTGAAGGTTACGGAAGGAAATGTTTATGACTTCAAAATAACCAGAGTAGGCAACACGAGTTTACATTTTGCTGACATGCCACTCACAGTCTATACTTTTCCTCTGTCTATGTGCTATGAAGTGTCTTGGTAGCTGATAAATGTCATCTCCTCCTAGCATTGCTACTTTATTTTACTATGTAGTCATGTCAATGGAAAGTCTCATTCATTGATTTACAAACACGTATAGGATATAGGCTTAAAATATATATATATATATATTTGTTTTGCTTCAGTTTTGGTAATTTGTGAAGGCATATCTTCAATACCCACATCCGCTCCAATTTATTTTATACCTGTATCCTTATTTTCTGTTACACAAATTTTACAAACAAGACCTTGAAAGTCCCAACTCGATTAGCCCTGCTCTCAGTTATCTTCCTGTTGAAGCATTACAGAGCTAGGTGCACTTTTCCTGCAACCTTTTTTTTTCTGATTTTTTTTTTATCTTCCAGGGTGCAGGTTGCAATTTTTCCCTTCACTGCATTTATTCATCGTTTCATGTTCACTGAAACACAATTTTACAACAAACTGAAATGTTTTCATGGTATATCCACATTTACTATTCACAAAACAGCTATTGTAAATGAAACAATGAGGCAGAAATAGGATTACACTTAGCTAAAACTACCTACTCATACAATCTGAAATTTTGGTTGCTAATACCTACTTAAATACTGTGTTTACATTATATGTTATATCTGTTTATATCAAAGGAAATCAGAGGGCAGGGCTGAAGTGTAGCTTTTGTGATTCTTAAACAATTACAAAAGGCAATGGATAATACACTTGTTTATAATCAGGTACAGATTCATGAAATATTATTGCAGAGCTCTGTTCTGTTCAGCGTATCACATCATCTTCAACCAGATATCAATATTGATTGAATTGTTCCTGGTCCTTTAGGAATGACCTATGGCCTGCCTCTCCCCTTGTTAAAACCCAGGTTATCACCAAGCGCTCCAGTTTTTGTCCTGAAAGCATTTCCTTGTTTCAGTGATGGCTGTAAAATGCAGAAGGAAGAATTAGGTGGGTTTTATTTAGAGTGGGAAGAGGATCCACGATTGGCTTTAGATTAACCTTTGTGTAGACATACTGTGTGAGATGTGTTGAAAAAAAAAACCCCAAACCAAAACCAACAGTAACATGGTTTTAAATTCTACTACTATGAGAGAAAATACCTAACAAGATAACACTCTCTGTGCAGGAAGAGCATAACTACTAAACTGCTACAACTAGCCCTTGCACATCTTGTATTACTGGAGACAAAGGTAATTTCAGTAAATATCACGAGAAGTTTAGGAAGCAGCTTTCTTTTACAAAGCTGCAGTTTTGTAACATCAGATATCAAATGACTGCTTCCTTGAAAGTGACATGCCACATGAAAAGCAAATAGCTCGGTTCACTCAGTAATTGGTACAGAAATTCATATGGAACACAAACAAAAGAAAGAAAACACCCAACACAAGGTAGCAGGGTAAGTTCGCCTCCCCTCTACTGAATTTCCAGGAAGACAAAATAAAACAACTGTTATGTTCATAAATCTCCAGATATTCAAAAATTGCTTATGGCTCTACAAAAAGTGCAATAGGAGGTTGTACGAGACACTATTTCACTAGACTTTAGCGTTTTAGGAGGTAAAACACATGGTCAAAGGAACCGGTTCTTAATCCATATTCAGAGCTGAAAGAGGAGTTTGTGTTACTTCCTCCTCTTCAAAATCAATTTAAACTGTCAAAATAGCTTTAAATCGGCAGATTTCAACTTTGAGCCCAAGAAAACCCTCTAAAGAATCAGTCTGAGCCGTTGCAGTAACATTTATGTCAAAAGGAAATTTTTAATTTGCAAGGAAAAACAAAAGTTTCTCTCTTCAGAGGTCTCTCCAGCAGCAGCACACGGGATTTATCGCTTCTCCTTTAACTCAGCCCGCGTGTTTGGGGCTGGAAACTCTCCCGAACGCAAGTACCTGCTCTTCTCCCCCCTCACCGGGGAAATGGGGCGATTTGGTGGCAGAAATCCCGAGGAAAATACACTTTTGTTAGTCCAAAGAAACACAAATCGAGCACACCGAAGGGCTCCCCGGCCGTGCAGCGGGGCGGGCTCTGCAACGCACCAATCACCGCGCGGCTCCTCTCTAAAAATACGAGCATCTGACCCGCGCCAGCCCAATTGTGTTCGCCTGCTCCGCAGAGGACGCCGCCG